CAATCTTTTTGCTTTCGTCTTCTCGTCTCCTACTTTCCAAAAACACCAATTGGTTTGAGCCTCATCACTCAAAAGTCACAATTTCGGGACTTAAACCCAGTCTTCCGCTCGAGCGTAAAACACCCCGCTCGAGCGGCCAATCACAGACTTACGCACTAGCGGCCAACCTCTCGCTCGAGCGCAGAATGCACTCGTCCAGCATTTTTTTTAGGGGAGGCCTCCGCTCGAGCTCCCAATCCCTACGCTCGAGCTCACAACACTGCACAACAAGATACTGGATGGATGTAATCTACGCTCGAGCGCCAACACCTCCGCTCGAGCGTACAGGCCAAAAATCTGGGCAACTAGTTTTGGTTTCTAAACTCAACCAACCTGTAACAAACCCGCTCAACACATCCTATAACTCAAATACAAAGTAAGAAAGGATGTAAACAAGATAATAAACAACTACCAACATCCACGGACACATGTCCGGATCGCTATACAACAAGGGTAAACCCGGGATCGCTATAGCAGAAGTGCTACTTAGTAGCAGAAACTCAGAGAGATAGACAGTAGCTAAGAGATAACTCTTTTTCCTACATACCTACCAGATACAATCAAATGAATATAGTTGATAGCAATTCTTTATCATAATCCTCAACTTTTTGCATTAAAAACTAGAAGTAAATGAGTTATCACCCAAGTTATGAAGTCAAATTATGAATTACATGAATTATAGATTTGGGAACTTTGGATGAACTAATGCGAATGGGTGTAAGTCTCGCTGCTCGGAAACACCCAGTGCTGACCACACTCAGAGAGACGAAAGTGCAAGTAACGCCAATTGGCGAAGTGACGTTAAACATCCCTCGATTTATACCCCAAAAGGGTGGCTTGCTTTCATCACTTTCTCTCTCATTCAACTTGTGTCAAGGCTAAAGACAAAACCTATAATACATAGATAGAGTTTTGATGTCGACTCCTTTTTCTCACTCTAAGAGCAGTGAAGTTGAATTCAAGTGAAAAGCAGTTAGCTGAGACAGCTTGAACTGAAACTCTTCCGCCCACAATAGTCCGCACCGGCCTTGTGTTACCTCACTAGCTCACTGACCTCGGCATATCAAGGCAGAAAGCATTTGGTCTACTCTGCTTTTTCCACCTCACACTCTCCCATCTCATGTCTTTTCTGAACTAGATATGCCCGTGGGGGGACTACAGACTCCCTCAATAATAGGTAGGTAGGGTAGCAATCTAAGAATTAGAACCATAAGAGTCAGAGTTCTCTTTTGATTATTTCAGATTGATTAGAAAAAATAGATATAAAGAGCCATAGGATATTCAAACGATAGGTTAATCCCTAGCCAATCCCATAGAAGGGATGAGCCCCTTTGCTCAACTTCCAGTACTGGAAAGGCAATCCTAGATCCATCCTAACAAAAAGAAAAAGGCCCCCGACTTTGGGATGCCTATAGGAGAAAGGCACCTTAGGGATTATCCAGACAATCACCCTTCTTTTATAGAGAGCTAACCGTACATGTAGGGGGGCCTGGGGCGAGTCCAGTCCCTAATCAGGCACTTTCTATCTATCTTTCATATTGAGTGCTCTCAAAGGTGCATGCCTTGACCCCTTTGCGGATGTCGCAGCACAAGCTTGATTTAATCTCCAGACCGCCTTTGTCCTCGCTTAGACCCTTATTGATTAGATTAGGGCACACTGCCACTTTTATCACCAAGCTGACCCTGGATAGGCTTACCATCCCGTGAAGTAGGAATGGCAGAGCGACCCAGAATTGAAATATGCACCATAGCACTTCGTCCACTCTCCTCTTGCACAGTTGATCGGGAAGTATATCCGTATGTCTACTATAGTCTATTTGAAGCGTTCCTACCCTCTCTTCTCTGGAATCAAACGAAATTGTTGAACCTGCGTAGTGGGTAAGGAATCCCCATTTAAATAGCGGAAAACAAGAGTTATAAGCTCTCTCGTGTGAGATCACGTTCGTTTCGAGTTTCGTACTCTCCATTAGCAACGGGAAAGGAGTCTATCTATCTACCTAGCTTTGGTAGATTTCCCCCAACGCAATCCATAGAAATTCCACAAATCCCTTGGTGGATAAGTCCGACGACTCAGCAGCAGTGCGAAATTGGTTTGAATATGGTAAGTTTACTATAGGTTATATCATGAAAATGCCAAAACAGAAGACGTTTCCTTTACAATAGGTAGTGCTATTTCTTTAAATGATTCTATTGGTAATGCCATTCCTAACATGGATGTATATAATAAGTGCAAGTCGACTAACGCATGAAACACCTATTCCGTAACCATAGAATATCTTTTGCTGCTGATCCCACATCGAGTTCTCCGCAGGCGTACAAGTCCTATAGGTATAAACAGTGTGGCCGTACCTCACTACATACGGCTTTCTTGCTCTGAACTACTTCTCAAAGGCTTTCTCTGCTTGGGAAAATGAGAACGCTTTCAGAAAGAACGAATGCAAGGTTTGAGGAGAAGACATAGACTGAGAAGTAGGAAGCTGGTAAAGACCATTGCAGTCAAGGTTTCAAAAAGTGGGGTTACGTAATGGTTGCAGCCGTTACGCAACAATTGCGGCGGTAGGCACTACGCATTACACTTGCTTTTGCCATGTGATTGAAATTCACATGTGTAACGGCCGTTCCGGTGTTACGTAACGGCTGTAATGGCTTGTTACACACCGTTACACACATTTACAATATTATGAACAACTTTTTTAAAAAATAAAAAAACTTACAAAATATACATTATACACATTATGCAATATTCAGTAGCTCAAAAATAATTTTTGTTTAAGTCTCAATTTTTATTTTTATAATCATTTCATTTAATAATTATAAATATTTTTTGTTTAGTTAGTTCAGGAAATGGTCAAAAATAATATTGTAGACATTTAAAATCAATTATTCTTAAAAAATAAATAAAAATAAGAGGTACAATATGGATTTATGACATATTAACTATTGAAATTAAATATAAAAAGCTCCTTTTATAGTGATTTAAAAATATGAAATATATTGAATCATACTTAAAAACTAACAAATATTGATCAAAATCTATTTTAAACCCCAATAAATGTGATTTTGAAAAAAAAATATATGCGTATCGGGTAAGTTTTTTTTTAAGTTGTGTGAAAAATAAAAAAATTCACGGTTTCGGTTACCGCAACTGTTACGCTACGACCTTTACAACCCACAACTACAACCGCACCACCGCAACCTCTTTTTAAAACCTTGTGCAATGATAGCCCTTGAAGAGAACTTGTTTAGTGAGACGCCTTCGAGGGACAAAATTCTGGATGCCATTTCCGAATAGACAAATAATGCCCTGCAATAATCCAAGGACCATAAAAACGGACATGATCATAATCATCTCTATTGGAAAGCCTTACCAAAAAGAAATCCGATCCCAAATCCACAACCTTCACATCTTCCATAGCTCCCCACATCTGCTATAAACGATCACACATAAACGGAAAGCTAACGGACTTACCTAACAATTTCACAATCAACGCGTTCCGCAAGAGTTACCATTCTTTTTGAGAATGAACAAAAGAAAAGAAAATCAATAAGCCAGTTGTCTATCTTGTCAAAAAGAAAAAAAGACTATGGCATCCCTTTAGGCATTGGTTTTTTTGGGATTTTTTTTCTACTTTTTATCGACTTCAGTAATGATTCAAGATTTTTACTTTTTAGGTTCATCTAAATGAGACAATCCTTACAAAAAAAATAAAAAATAAAAAATAAAAAGGAAAAAGAAATGTTTTGAAAAAGGTACACTATAGACGAAAAAACCAATGCATGTTTAGTACTTTTCAAAAACAAATTGCCTAAAAAGTTGGTTTTTTTGGGGGGTTCTTTAATGGACTTTAAATATATTATAAATGGAGTGGCCAGGCTAGAATTACTCATGCCAAGCCCATCCCAAAAAGTAAACGAGCTCAAAATCTCAACTCAACTCATGGGCCAAATATCTATCTCAAGCCATAGAATGGGTTGGGCTAGTTGGGCCATCAAGCCCATGACCACCCTAGCCTAGATAGATTTAAAAAGTACATAAAAAAACAACTCAGAGTTGAAAAAAGTTTCAATAAAAAATAAAAAAAAAACAACTGAAAAAAAAAAGCCAACTTAAAACTAGGAACTAGACTTGAGGTGCATTGGTAAATGGCAAATATAAACAAGAAACTTACAGTCTCCTCTATAGGTCCTGATGTGTAAATCCAATGTAGGTAGTAGAGATCAATGTAGTCCACACTAAGGCGCTTCAAACTAGCCTCACAACAGGAGCGCACATATTCAACAGTACCCTTCACCATAACTTGAGTAGGTTCCATTTTTGACAATTCCAAATTTTGTAGCTAACTGAACTTTTTCTCGAGGCAAATCCTTTAATGCCTGAAAATATTAGGATCAACAACTGAAATATCACACAAAATTGTCAAAAAAGCATATTCATTTTTTCTTTGGAAAACAACCAACAAGACTCTCTTTGGTTTGATTTTTAGAATAAATTTTCTAAAAAAAATAAAAACTAATTTGCCGTAAAAAATGAAAAATACTCATCATTTTCACACGGTTTTATCTTTTGGGGAGGCAGAAATATTCTTTGGAAATTTGAAAATACCTTTTTGGTGCTTATTTTTGTCAGACTAGCTTCTATTTTATTCAAAAAAATTCAGAAAATAGATTATGAAAGTGAAACAAAATTTTCAAGTTAAACTCCGACTGTATTTGTATGTATCATATTCTACATATTTATTTGTTTTCGCTTTTCTAATTGATAAGAACAACAACATTTATAGTTATAGTCATACCCAAGTAAACCACCAAAACAAAAAGTATTAATATCCTCCTCGAATATTTCATTTCTTGTTAAACAAACTATGAAAAGAGAACACTATCTCCCAAATGTAGTCTCCACTCTGTAGGTGTTATTAGTTCAAGTCTTATCTATCAGATCAATCTATAACACATCCTATTCAATGATGCAAGAAAAACAACAACAATCAAATCAAGTATACTACCAAAACCTTTCAAAAAGTTAGTGGAGTCTCCACTCTAAAGGTGTGAATACAAAACATTTAGATCAGTTGAAAATGCATCCCACTCAATGATGCAAGAAAAATGACAACAACATTAATAGTCAAAGAAGTATAGCTCCAAGACCTTTCAAAACGAACTTTTTTCCCTTTCCTTTCTTGGACTCATAGCACAAATACTTCTAAAAGGAAATTGTATCTATATTGTACCCATATTGGATACCGAAACTCCTCAGATACATGCGGTTACGTATCCAATACTTCCTAAAACGTATCTAATATTTGATGCCAATTTTGAGAAGTATTGCATACTTTCTGGATAATCTAGGTCACATATCCAAACTACTATGAAATTGAAATTGTAATAATTTTGCATATTATTAGAGTATAATTGTTAAAAAATAGATACATGAATAATTTTTCAATATTTTCTAATTTCTTACCCAAGAAGAAAATAGTGAGATTAAAGTAGTACTCTACCTTTTCAAATATTATCAAATTAGTGTATCGGCTAAAACAGAAAAGTAAACTTTCTCTTACTCTAATAATTAATATCTAAATAATGGTTTCTCACAATTCTTTGAGCTTATGTATAATATAATACTAAAAATAGAAAAGAAAAAAAGAAAAAGAAAAATTCAACATATCCTTGCCATTCCCGTATCCTATTTTATTAGATTTAATGTGTCGCCGTATCCGTATCATATTGTATCTGTATCCCGTATCAATATCCTTCTTTCATAGTTTGTTGGATATGGTCCAAAAAATGCTTTGTGCAACCTAAAAAATAGTAAAAAAACATAATAAAAAAAGATAGAGAAAGTAAACCAAACCAAACCAAGCCAAGTCTTAAGTTCCATCAAATGAAATCGGCTACATGAATCTTTCTTCTCTACTCGACTCTCTCAAAGGCCATTTCGTTAGTCAAATTAAGGAGATTCATATCTCTATTTATTATGCTATCCCACGTCAATCTAGGTCTAACCCATCCTCTAACACTTCCATTTACCGTCATTGCATCGCATCTCTTCACTACTGCCTCTGTTGGTCTTCGTTGTATATGACCAAATCATCTCAATCTATTCTCTCTCAACTTATCTTCTATTGGTGCTACTCCTACCCGTTCTCTCTTACAACTCATAACCAAACACATAACCCAAAATCTTATTCAAAGATCATAAAAAATTTTAAAAAAAATTCTGGAAATATTTTTTATTAAAAAAAAAAAAAAAAGAAAAACCGAACATTGTTCTGGTCAACTGGCCGGAAGTCCAGATTAGCCAAATTTTCCCGCCTGGAAAGGAGTTTTCAAAAGTGAAAAAGAGTTTTCAAAAATGGGTGTGGAATTATAATTTGAAAATACAAAACAAATACCACACTCAAAAGTGGGGGTGGAAATGCGTTTGGAGAGCTTCTCTAAACACAGCCGTAGGCTCCACTAAGCCTCATACACCATAACCCAATTTTGAGACCTAAGAAAAAGAAGAAAAAAAAAAAGATTCCAAATTCAGAAAACGAATGAGAAACAAAAATACATTGACAAAACATTTCTAACACTCACACCTAGCCTGCCTAACTAGTTGGTAAAGGGTTTGACTCCCCTTCCCCCATTCCTATTAAAAGACATATAACATAATTTCTGCATACAGCTAAAGGTCATCAACTTTTATCATCGCACCTAGCCTGCCTAACTAGTTGGTAAAGGGTTTGACTCCCCTTCCCCCATTCCTATTAAAAGACATATAACATAAGTTCTGCATACAGCTAAAGGTCATCAACTTTTATCATCGCAAACATGGAAAGATATATATAACTTTCTTCATAATATAATTTATTCGAAACATGGAACTAAATCACAAGCATCCAACTAGGCAATTACATAAAACAGCGACAAAAATCTGGTGACAAACCATTTTGTTTTTAAAAATACTAGCAAACAAAACAAAAAAAAAAACAACCTTAACATTTTCAGCAGCCCTGTTATCATAGCCTATGAAGCATGAATACTTCCATATCGAAATTGTATTGGATACCAATACTCTTTGGATACTCACAAATGCTTATCCAATACTTCCCAAAAATATCCCAATTAAAGTTTATTTCTCTTTAATTTTAGAATCAAAGTATCATATATGTTCAAGATACTAGTATTCAGATGTGACATTTCTTGTGTAATGTTAGAGTATAATTGTTAGAATAAATGTAAGACTAGTTTCTTCTAATACTTTGCGTACTAGACCAGAAAAATTGAGAAACAATAAAATTAAAGCATGTCAAATTTTGCCAAAATTTGTGTCCTCATAACATAACATAACCTTAATCTTTTTTTACATGAATACATTATAAAACTGAAATTAAGAATATTTAACAGATACTTAAATACATAATTAGTAATAAATATGTTATGATAAAATTACTTTTATATTTATACACATACATGCATATAAGATATATATAGGTTTAGTGTAGTTTTCAAATCCAATCCAACTTGAACAGGTTCAACGCCCTGGTTCTCAATCAACAGTAGACCAATCTGTGAGGAATGCTGATGGGCTACCATTGGACCGCGCCGGCTCATCCTCGGAATCCGAAAATAAAACAAAGACAAAACAGAATCACTTTGTTTCAGTGACATATATAATCAGACTGAATAGGATTTGAAGTGCTGCCACGATCATTCACATCAATTTCAGCAGGCAGGAAGGGCATGGAAGCTACCGTTTCTAGAATGCAAACAACGGTAGCTTCACGTTAGCAGCTCATCTTTTTTCTATTTTGACCACCTAGTCTAACGCAATGTTTAGTTCTTTGTGTATGTGACGCCTAGCTACAAACTCTATATGATTAAGTAGGTCCCACACTGCCTTATGCATCAGTGGCATATTCACTCTAGACGAGTCACCTAGGTTGATGCAATGTATTCAACCAGTCAACTGAAGACTTGATTATTGGTATACCGATCAGTCCAGCTGAGTTGGTCTGATTCAGGAAGCTCCCTTCATAGCAAAGCAAGCTATAAGTCAGTTTCAAGTCTGCCTTTCCGCTAGAAAGCTCACTACACAAATCACTTTTTGACTTAGCAAAGTGCAGATGCAATGCTCAGGAACTGAATTGAAAGTTCTGGTAGGTTCTTAGCAGTTTATCGTAGCTGTTACAATACATATTTGTCGTTGTATCATACTTTTTTTTTTTTTGATTTATAAATTTGTCATATTGGTATCCTTCCCATGTTGTTTCTCTATCCTGTTGCATTCATATCTACGTTTCATAAATCATGGCAGTCCTGTCTGTTGCCAGGAAAACTTTTGATAATGGATAAAAAAAATTATTTTGGCCGTTGTCAGCAAAATCAAAGCTTTTCAAGTATTATTTCAAAAGCACAAATTGGCTTAACTAAAATAAAAATAACCCAGCCAAAAAAATAATTAAAATAAATCAACAAGACTCTGATTTTTCAGTCAATTCAAATAAAAGCCTGATTTGAAGCACTACTGAGACTGAAATTCAATCTAATGTGTGTGTATATATATATATATTCTATTACACACACATACACAAATTTCTCGATGCAAATGCGATTGGAGTGTAAAGAATTGAACCGACATGTATATTGATAATCATCTGAATTTCAAATTCTAGCTCCATAATCGTGTTTGAACAGAAACAAATACCGATTATTGGTGGGAATTTGGAAGAAAAAAAAAGGGGGCTAATTAGGGTTTTGTTACCTCAAATCCGTGGATTCCGAGTCTAACTCTGGGCATCTCAAAATCAGCCATTGTTTGTGTAATCGATCACTTCCACTTTCTTCTTCCTCCTCAACTCTGCACTATCACTCTTTCCCTATATATATTACTATATATATATTGGGCCATTATAGCACATTACCAATATATGAAAAAAAAATTTGAAAACCGATATGTTATACTGGGCAAGTTGATTTACCTCTTTTTTATTTTTTATTTTTTTATTTTTTTTAAGATATAAATTACAAACGACTCTCATGAGGTTTGCTTAGATATATGTTGTCTTCTTATAATTTTAAAATTACATTTCACCCCTATAATTTTTAATCACATAACAAATAACTCAATTTTTTAAAAAAATATTAAATCAATAATAGTTTTTAATATGTTATAAATATATTTTAATTAATAATTCATATAATTTTATTGTTGTATAGGAGAATAGTTAAAAATTTTATTTTTTTTTCTGTTAATTCTGCTAAATAAGTTTTTTTTTATTTTTATAATAGAGTATTTGTAATTTTGAAAATTATAAGGAGTAATCTGTATTTTAAATAAATCTCAAGATGTACTTTTTTCTGATGACAAAATCATAGAGTTTTGGACTGACCCACCGTACGTATGTCACTTGTGTGATAGTTGATATCATTTTTTACATACATCTTCAAGAATTTTGTATTTCATTTTTTTTTTTAAACACATTTCTTACATCTTAGTTTTTTATTTTTATTTTTTTTCATTTTTTGATTTAACAAGAATAAAAGTTGGAGGAACCAAATGAAATTTGTTGGTGATGCTTGTGTGCCCGTTGTGCTGTTGGAGACTTGGAGTTCTTTTTTCTTTTCTTTTAGAGTCCCGCTACGTAGCTCGAAAGATTAGCGGCTCGAGTGGCCCGAAATTCCAAAATGACGTCGTTTTGGATTTTTTTTTTTTTTTCCTTTTCTTCTTTGTTTCCATAACCTGCAAAAGAAGAACAAAGAAGAAGAAGATGAAGAGAAGAGGAGGAGCAGAGAGAGAATCATCATCAACCAAAAAGGTATAAACCTTTGTCTTCAACATTTATATATATATATATATATCTATGTATATGTATATGTATATATATGTACATGCATCAATTATTTCATGGAAATTCAAATTTTTGTTTGATTTTGTTTGAATTTTTGTTTGATTTTGTCTAATTTGGGTTTCAATGTCGGTTTTGATTTGTGGTTGTGGGTTTGGTTTTAGTTTTGGGTTTGGTGTAAAATTCCCATCTCTCTCTTTGTATTGTTTTTTTTGTTTTGCCTCATTCAACAGTCTAGAAAGAAGAAGAAGAAATAAGGAAAAAAACAGAGGAAGGAAAAAGAGGAAGAAGAGAGAAAGGAAGGAAGGAAAAAAAGAAAAGAAAAAAACAGAGGTACCAAAATCTACTCCGACTTCCCCACCCAACAAAGAGAAGAGAGAGATGACCATCACTTTCCCAACTACACTCTCTCTCTACCTCTCATCATGTTTTTCTTCTTCTTCTTCTTCTTCTTCTCTCTGTCTCTCTGTCTCTCTCTCTCTCTCTCAACCCCACAAACCTACAAACTCATCAAACCCCACCATCACCAACTTTTTCTTCCTTTTTCCTTCTTCCTTCAACTTTCACTCACCCATTTCCTCACCACTACCTTCCCACCGGAGCATCACCATCTTCTCCGACCTGCGACTTTTAGGCGGCCATTTTTTTCCTGCGGATCTCCCTTCTTTCTCTCTTTCTTCACTCATTCAAGGTAAATCTTTCTTTTTGCTTAAGATTTGTGTTGTTTTTCTTCCAATCTTAAATTTTAGTTTAATTGATTTTAGTTTTTCTTTTTGTTGTCCCTATTTTGTTCATTGTTCATCTTAAAAAAAATAAAAATAAAAAGAAAATAGTGAATTTGGGAAGCAACAGCCGCACATGCGGCCCTCGTCTGCGCACTTGCGGCACGTCGAAGTTCAAAAACAAAAACAAAAAAAACATAGGGGAAACAATTATGGGCAAACCACCAATTGCACGTACGGCCCCCGTCGACGCACGTGCGGCGATTCCAAAAAAAAAAAAAAAATTGTAATAATAATAGTAATAATACTAATAATAATCATATAGCTTGTGGTTGCCTATTTTGTTAATATAGTTGTTTAGTTTAATTGTTTTGTTTAGTGGTTTCTTTTTCCTTTAACTTTAATTTAATTGTTTAGTTTAGTTGGTTAGTGGTTTAGTTGTTATTTTTGTTTTCATATTTTGTTTTTATTTTATTTTCTTTTCCTCTACTAACTTATTTATTTATTTCTTTTATTTCATGCTTTGGTTTGTTTGTTTTTCTTTAAGTTAGTTATTTATTTTATTTTATTTTCTTTCTTTCTTTCTTTCTTTCTTTCTTCTTCTCTTTTGTTTTTTTTTTTTTCAGGTCTCAAACAACTAAAGGTATTTGGTTGGCAAAATGCTCTGGCATTGAACCCTGCACTCTTGTTATGGATTTGGAGGGTACTGATGGAAGAGAACGAGGAGAGGTAATTTCAAAACTTAGTTTATGATTATATGGATAGATGGTTCTGACTTCATCTATACATACATTTTTCATATACAAAGATTTTTCATATACATAGCTTGAGTTATTGCTCTTTGGTTTTCTCTTTCTCAAGGCCATGTTTCTTTCAATTGCATGGGTATTCACTTTGTTTCTGTAGCAACATAGTTATAAAATTAAATAAAATCTATATACGAAGTGTAAAATTCAAGTTAAAGTTGTAATTTTATTTCCCAAAATAAATTCAATTGTATTGGGTTTCACTATAACCATCCAGGGCTGAAATTTAACTGGACAAAGAATTTAAATCATGCGGGATTTTATAATTTTGTTGCTGTTGAAGCAATCGAAGAAAGATGAAAAACACAATTATAAGTGCTTCTGAATTTTTTTGTAGCATCATCTCTTTCTCTTCCCCGCACGTGCGATTGCATGATTCGATTGAGATTCGTGGTTCAGGCTTGCAAATTGTATCAGTATGCATGATTCTAATGCAATGATCTGAGAATCCAGTTGGTGTAGGATTTTGATTTGAAACATAGGATGTAGCAACTAGGCATGCACATGTTGGTTTTTATTTTTATTTAGTTGAATTATTATTTTTTATTTTGGCTTTCTGTCCCTCATTTTGGTTTTTCAAATTGTCCTTTCAGGATGATACTGCGTTTGAAAAGCAAAGTGCCCTTTTTGCTCTTGCTGTTTCAGATATAATGCTAATCAATATGTAAGTTTGTTCTTATTTTAAGTTACATGCACTGCAATCAGTTAAAATTTATGATGGTCCTTGTGCAGGTCATGATGCGATTATTTAGTCCACGTAAAACAACATTAATGTTTGTAATACGAGACAAAACAAGGGTATGTTTCCCTCTTCTTATTTCATGTTGCATTTCTACATTGATATTCTTTTATTTATTTGGCTTTGTTGAATTGAACTGAATCTTAATAGTGCATTTAACCTTTCTTCTTATTTTTTTTTATCAATCTTGAAGAGTAATTACAAATATGATAAATACTACATTAGATGTCATGACCCAAACCCGCCCCTATGGGTTAAGGACATAACCGGCCAGTAATCAAGAGATTACCTACGGCCTCAAACCAATCCTCGCTCGATCTAAGAAACCCTGGCTCGAGCGACGGACCAAAACAAAGAGCTCGCTCGAGCGAAGAACTGCTCGCTCGAGCGAAGGGTCAAAATTCTGGGCAGCAACCCTTTGCTCCCAAGCTCAACCAACCTGCTATAAACCTGCCCATTGCATCTCCCAACTCAGAAATAGGAAAATAAAGGACGGTAACAATCATAATACAATGGCAGGAGCTACGGAACCTAAGTCTGGATATAATAAACAAATGGGAAAAGACCGGGGTCGCTATAGTTGGTGGCGGGGCTACCGACATCGATCAAGGGATGGCGGCCACGGTGGTTCTACGTGTCTGCCAATGGGGGATTGGGAGTGCGCACCATCTGGAAGGTGCCTATTAGGTCGATGGAGTCAAGATTGGGGGCAGCGGCGGAAGAGAGGCTGAAGAGGGTGAAGGAGTGAAGGGAGAGAGAGAAGGCCAAATGAGACGAGCTTGTTCAGCCGTCCGCATTGTTTGAGGCAGGGTTGGGACCGCAGCCGAGGGGTGGGGACCTCGACCGAGCAGAATTGGAGGCGAGAAGAGAAGTTCAGGAAGCAGAGGATCAGGCCATACTTGCCAAAGCCACGAAGTTGAAGGAAGCGCGAGGAGACCGACTGCCTCAACCGATCGCGCAGGAGAGGATCTGACTGCGCCCAAGGCCGCTAGGAGGGAAGGACTTAAGCAGTTTTGAGCCACGACCGCCCCTAGTAGATCCTGTAAAAGAATAGGCCAGAAAGGAGGGGGAGGCTCTGAAGAAGAAGAAGAAAAAGAAGAGGAGTGCCCCAGAGGGAGCTGCAAATGAGTCTGGGGCTAAGAGGGCTAAGGTAGCCCTAGCTGAGGTGGAGGCCCCTGTGGCCAAGGATACCCCAGAGGTGGTGGGGGTCACCTCAACACTAGAGATTGTGGAGACTGCCCCAACAATGCAAGTAGAAGTTGGGTTGACTGAGGCCGAGCCGAGCGGGAGGGAGCAGACCCAAAGGGGCCCTGTACCCCAGGAAGGAGGGGTCCGTCTGGCCACGGCAATCTATCACGCTCACACGGTAGCTGGAAGGTTGGAGGAAGAAGAAGGCCCAGCCAGGGCGGGGGCAGACCGCTTGGTGAAGATTGTGGAGGAGACAACCCTACGCTCGGCATCCGGATTCAATGAGGCTGACCTGCTGAGAGGGTTATGCTCCGCCCAAATAGAGGTAACCACCTTGGCAGGGGCCCTTCTAAGGAAAGCAGGGGCTGCCAAGCTAAAAGTTGAAGAGGCCAAGGCCCAGTTGGCCAAGTTGAAGAAGGAGAGTGCCGACTGGAAGACTGCCCATGCTGAGCTGCAAGCAGTCAAGTTGGAGTTGGAGGACACACGCCGTAAGGTCGTGTCGCTCAAGTTCCAACTGGCTGGGGAACAGAAAAAGTTGGAGGAGTCTGAAAGAGCCTGCGCCGTTGCGGTCGAGCGGCATGAAGAGGCCATGAGCAGCAATGAAG